TCTAATTTACACAATGAAGCCTGTTTTCTGTGTAAAAAAATTTGTTTAAAAAATCTAATGATTTTAGAGGTTGAAATTTTAATTATAACTAGGCAAAGAACCACTAACTAAGCAAAGAACCACTAACTAAGCAAAGAACCACTTTGATTACATTTCATAGAAAACGCAAAAATAATTTTTCTTTTAATCTTTTATTTATAGTTGGATTTTATTATATTTATGCCGTTAGAGGCTTAAGATGTTACCACACAGTTATTCTTAGCTAGAGAATTCAAAGAAGCCAAATATTCCAGGATTCTGAATAAAACTCCCATTAAATATTTCAGGCCCATGAATTTTGACAAACTTGGCTCACATTAATTTCCCTTTAATGATTTTATTTGATTCAAGAACCGACATCACAGCACTCGGGGCATTCCCACAAGTGCTCTGTCCCCATCTTCAGCAGCTAGCGAGGAGTTCCAATACTAATGGTGCCAGTAGCATACTGATTAAATGTCCTTCTTGCCTTTCCTTTTAGCCTCGAGCATCTGCCAGAACCTTTCGTTACTCCCCGCTGCATCAATCTCACCAGACTGTGGTGATCCATCTGCTGCTCCGAACTGTACACGCTCTCCCACAAGACACTAACCACGTCTGCCCTATGATGTATCAGTATTCCACCAAGTTGTGCAGAGCCAGCCAGTCTGTCCGCCTGTTCATTTCCTAACAGACCAGCATGCCCCGGTGAAAAAATCCAGACAATACTCCTCACCCGTGTCCTACGCAGCGAAGCATGCCACTCTGCACGAAGCAAACCTGTTCTGATCTTCCTCAGCATGCTTTCTGAGTCAGTTACAATCACGATGTGTGTGTGTGTGTGTCATGTTCTCTAACTAGCAGAAAGCTGCAGTGACTGCCTCCACCTCCATCTTAAGCTGGATGTTGTAGTATCATATGCTAGGCTCTCCTGCACCAAACGTCGACCATTAACTTTTGCTGAGAAGCCCCAAGCACTTCTTTTGCCTCTTGACGCGGAACCGTCTGTGTAAATGATCAAATCCTCTGAGCGAGCATTATCTTGAATTAATTGCTGAATTTCCACCTCTGTGGCACCTGCTGGCCAGTCTCTGCATTCCCGGCTCAGCGTGATTATGACTCTACACAATTCTGACTGCTCAGGTGGCACTTTGACCCACTCCTCTCCTCGCCTAATGTTCTCAAGGACGCAAACCTGTCTGATTGTGTCTTCTGCCTGAGCCATCCATGACCTCCCTCTTATCAGCCGCTTACCCTTAACTGCACCTAAAGCTTCATGCAGAGGGTGGTCTGTGTCTGCCGCTACCCTGAGATATGACTTTGCCTGCAACACCTTGTGCCTACCTGCAAACGTCGGCAAACCAAGGATGTATCGCATACACACCACTGGATTGTCTCTGGTGCAACCCAGAATGACCCGCATAGCCGCGGTCTGTATGCGCTCTACTTTGTCCATCTGACTCTTTGAGACAGTAAGCAGTCCCAGACCATAATCAACCACTGACAGGATCAGGTGCTGATATAGTCTGAAAAGCATTCTCTGCTCTATGTCAATTGAAGTCATAGTCTTAAGTGCACTAAGTCCTTTTTGGCATCTCGTCACAACACTCTCCACATGGTCCTTAAATGGCAGGCTCCTGTCAAATGTAATTCCCAGATACTTCAATTTGCTCTCTCTGTTGACGTTTCTACCCTCTATCGTGAGACTTGGGACATTAGCTTTAACGATTCTGTTGTCCAGAGAACACCACAAACAGATGCCTTTTCTGTGTGGACGACAGCCCTCATTTCTGTACAGCACTCAGTCACTTTGTCTACTGTCGCTTGAAGCTCCCGGGCTGTTTGTTCCCTCTCTTCCCCCTGCCTATATGCAAGTATATCATCCGTAAAAGTCAGTATCCTTCCAACTCCTGGTGCTTCTAGGCTTGCAATCTTGCTCGTATACACGTTAAAGAGCACAAGCGTGATGGCAGATCCCTGTGGCAGTCCTGGGGTCAAAGTGCAAGGTTCTGAGGTCCATGTGCCCACTCGGAGAACAACCCGACATGAATACAGGACAGCTGCAACCCAATTCACCAGCCATGGACTGACCTCCTTATCCTTCAGTGCAGTCATTTAGATGTCGTATCTCACTCTGTTGTAAGCATCTTCCAGATCCAGTCCTACTCTCCCCATTCCCTCATCCTCTCCTCCTCACTCCCTCTTTATGAACTGCTGAATAATGTGTCAAGTGCAGAGCACATGCCATGTAGCTCCGGCCACGATTCCTATGTATATTTTTAAAATCCATAGGCCAAAAAAAAAGAGTACTGCAGGAAATGACCGGTCACCCTAGTATTGCCTGCCTGCTAGGAAAGGGGCAATGGATGTCCCATAGGAGTCCATACACCTGGTGCCGCCCCACACGTTTGCGAGACGTCCAACAATCACGACCAGCTCACCCGTGGCCATCCAGTTCCTCAGCACGCTGGCCCACCTTGAACTTGGGGGTTTATATTTGAAGTTTGTCGTCTCCTAGATGGACGGCTGTCCAAAGCTAAAATGTTCCATCTACCCGGGAAAAAGGGTTATAGCGCCCGGACCCGCTTGGCAAGCACGTCTCCGGGCATATGTAATTTCCCTTTACAAAAATGGCAGAGGGGTGGGTGTACAAGAAAGGCAATAGAGAATGTAATATACTTCTAATCCCAATAAAAGTATATATTTGTTTAAAGAGAAATGAATGTACATTTTAATTCTGACGATTAGTATATGTTTAATTTGTTTATAGTTAGTAGGAAAGAAGAATTCAGCAGGTGTTATTTTCACAACAGCAACATTTTACAAACAAATTCTTCACTTACCATGATTATGTAGCCACAAGAGTAGTGAATATATAAATTTGAGAACAAAACTTCAAAATTGTTCAATTTCCTAACAAGTTCCAAAGTTATGTTAAGTTTCTGGGTTAGTTTAGCATTCAGGAACTTTTAGTTCTCACAGAGTGCTGAGCAAAATTTCAGAGAAAAAAATTACAGAAAAATGGGCCATTACACACACATTATTTACTATTCACTTTGTACAGTTATATACAGACTGTTGCTGGGATGATTTCAATGTAGCTTAGCCATAGTATAGTACAGTCTCTTTGTTTAGAGCACTTTCCTTCTCTTACACCATAAAAACGGTAGCAATGGGCCATAATTGTCTGTGTAATAAACTCATCAAAATCGCTAGATTCCGAACAGCTGATCGCTCAGCTTCGCTGGTGAAAATTCACCATCTGAATCCCTTTCCGAAAAATATGAATTTTCATTATCATTTTCAGAATTAAAACATCTTACTGAAACAATTTCAGAGCTTTGGTCGCAGAAAGACACATTCTGCGACCTGTACTTGTTGGAACATTGGTATTCATGGCACCTGAAAACGAACTTAGAAAATGCACTGTTGAAAATAAATGTAGCTATGAATCTGATTAATCCACGCACGCGTGGCTTTAAATATGGATGTCACTAAAAGGAAATCGTTTAGAGTGAATTTCCCTGAATACTTTAATCATAGTTCCTAATATTAGAAACAAGTATGGAGCTGTGTGCAAAGCAATATGCACAGAACACACGATCCACAATGACAGCGCTTTTTGGGCAAAACGGAACTTCTCAATCAATGCTCACACCGTTGGTCGGGCCTTAAAGAGTTAAGGTAGTAAATATTGCTAATAAACCTCAGTCAGAGCCATATGTCAAAGCTGAATGTAGATAACTCATGCTGAAAACAAAAAATCATAGTAGTTTAAAAAGAAAGAAGTCATAATAAGAACACCATTACCATAGATAAAAACCAGTGCAACTGTTATTAACTGATTTTCAAACTACTGTAAACAAAATTGTGGTGAGGTGGAAACACATACCTGGAAACTTTAGCAAGTAATAGATCGTAATACAGTAGAATATGACATTCAAGTGAAAAAAGTCAATGGGATCATTTCTGTTCCCTGGGGTATTTTTGGCATATGGTGCTAGCTCTATATTTTTGAGAGCAGTTGATATTTGGTCGGGGATATTGTCAATATAATGTATAATGGCAGCTGCCATTATTTCCCAGAACATTTTTTAATACCAGTTGTTTTGCTTTGGTCAACATGGGATATTTTTAAAAATACGCCTCAGTGACAATTATGTATGTTCACTGAGCCAGCAGGCAAGCATATTAGCTATTGGGATTTTAGAGTACTTGCTGGCTATTCAGTCCTGCATGGTAAATGATAATTATCAAGTTATGCATTATGGTTATAATAGGGCAAGAGTTCTGCTATAAAGTATAAAGCATCTCATAAATGTAAAAGAATAGTTTAGTTTTTTTAAAATTATGTTCATGCCTTGTTCACGTTTTTTTTTTTTTTTTCACTGTCTTCATTGAGTTTTATTTTTTCAGTTAATATATAACAGTGTGATCTTATGACATCAGCATTTACAAATAGCTTTGATATAGCGTGTTGTATATTTCAGCACGTCAATGCTTTTAACGCTTCATGAACATGCAGAACTTGCCCCAACACAAAACTCTGAATGAGAGTGCTGCAACCTATGTCACAGAAATCCTCTTTCTCGGAATGAAAACTTAAATGTAAAGCAGCGCAGAACACTTTTTGAGCAAACAGTACACCAGGACACCCCTGTAACCTTCAGCAAATTTGACAAGTCTAACAAACTATGAATGAAAAGTGATCTAGTGCATAAATGTGGGGAGCTAACACACATTGGGGAGATTTTTGTAATATTCACCTCTGAAAGATATTAAATACTGAGGGGGAACATAGGCGGACTTTTAATCAGGTTTCAGCTGGTACTCTTAGCATGTCACCTCTTTGTTGGCTACTGAGAAAGCGCAGTGATGTCAATTTCAGATTCATTCATTCATTTACTCACTCATTTATTCATTCATTCATTGACATAATGTTGCCAGTGAAAGTAAATACATTTATTTTCCATAAATCATAGCAAGCAGATTTTGACATGGTGCTGGTGAACCTTAGAATGGATGCTGTATTTGTAAAAGAGAGCATGCATATCAACTGGGTTTCTGAGGCAGGTATCGTTGAAAATATTCAATCCCTCATCAAAGAATACAAAATCTCCAGGAGTCTTCAGGTAAATGTTCTTTATTAGCGTGTGTACTTCCTAATGTAAGTTTTTTTTTTTTTTTAAGTAACTATTTTTGTGAGTTATAATTGGGCATTACAACAGGACACAGCAAAGAGTTACTTAGTATTTGATGTTTTGAGTTTAAACTCTTACAATCCCTGGAAAATAAGTGATTTCAGTTGTGATAAATAGCTTGCAGATGAATGAGGAAAAGAATGACCAGTTATTGTTGTACTGCCTTGGTGTTTATTTGTTTACAGTTTGTTTAGTTTTGCTTTGTTAGTTTAACTTTGATTTTGCTACAGTGTTAACCCTTTCTTTCACCCCAGAATCTGTAAAAAGAAAACATATTTAGCAGGATCCCATGGGAATTCTTGTAATAAAAATCCTTTAATCACAAACAGTTGACAGATGTCACTAACAATTATTTTAATTATGATTATCTACATTTTGAAAACATTTTTGTTAATATTAGGAGAGTAACAATCTTCTTCTTCTTCTCCTTCTCTTCCACCTTGTACCTCATCGAAGTGTCAGGGTGGGGGGGGGGGATGTAACATTCGTTGATGAGCTTTGTCAAGAGCATTATTAAGACTGATGTTCATGTCTGTAAGGCTGTTCTTAATGCCATCACTCCATCTTTTCCGAGGTCTTCCACTCGCTCTATACCCGTTGTAATATTTTGGTGTGGCTCGTTATGACATATAGTGCCAGGACCATCTTGTAAGGTGTCCAAACCTTCATTTGTTGTTCTTTGATGACCTGTAAGACTGGCTTTATTCGTAGCATTCATCTGATTTCATGATTTCCTGTTCTCTTTCCTTGAAACTCCTGCAGCTCTTCTAAGGCATTTTATCTCTGTTGTCACAATTTTACTTTCACTGTAGGATGTAAGTGTCCACGTTTGGCACTGACAGCATAGTGTTGGCCAAAAAATAGTTCTGATAAGATTCACTTTAGTACTCCCGAGTATCTGCTTGTGTGTCAACAGGGGAGATAGTTGCCCCATTACTTGATTAGCTTTGGCACATCTTGAGCTAATTTCTTTGTCCAGTTTACCATCGGATGTGAAAATTGCTTCCAAATACTTAAATTACTGTGTTTGTTGTAAGGTGTTGTTTTTAAATTTTTTTTTTAAATTGTCTTTATGTCTTCCTATTTCCATTGTCTCTGTCTTCGTAGTGTTTATTTTCATATTATATTCCTCCCCTTTGTTACTAATTTGATTTAGGTAGTTGTGAAGGCATTCTGTACTTTTTGCTATGAGTACCTGTCATCGGCGAATAGTAATTCTGTAATATCTTCTTCATGATTAAAGTTTGTTTCCTTACATATGCTAGAGAGTAATCAATAAAGATAAATGGAGTGAAACCTACAAAAATAAAAACATACATCAGGTGACTCACACAATAACCTTGTGACCTTGTTGGAATTCTAACACAAAGGCTATAGGCAAATTATAACCTGAAAATTGCTTTTAAAAAGCCATTTTAATCCCCCAAAAAACACATTAAAAGCTATTTTTAGTAAATAAATTCAGATCCTGATATCCTTAGTGCTTTGCAAGCACAAACACAGCCAATGCCAGTAACTAGGCTTCTCCAGGAAAAAGTCACTACAGCTGTGCCATGTATGCAGCATGTGGACTGAGAGCAGGCGGAAATGCCTAGTTCACAATTTCTTGGGATGATTAGCTTAAACTAGAATCCATATTTGATTTGTTATTCTTCTTCCTCTCCTTTACTTCCTCTTTTACCACTTTGCTTGATTTGTTATTGCTGCCCGTTAATAATAAGCTTGTCATAAAATATATTCTGTAAGCCATTTCTAAGGATCCTGTGATTTTTTTTCCTAATATTACTAAGGTCTAGGCTGTGGCATTATCTTTCCACTCACTGCATCATTTCTTTTTTTTTTTTTTTTGATTGGTCAAAGAAGAAAACTTTCACAGATGATTCTTCATCCTTTTCTCTCCCTTCTACATCTCTATTTCTCTGTCTGTCCCCCCCACCCCTTTTCCATAATTCTAGCTCTACTAAGTAGTTTTCTTTTTTAATTAAATTATTTTACTCTTTATCTCTTTCTCTTCTTGTTTATAAATGTGTTTTTTTCACCCTCTCTCCCTGTTTTTTGTTCTCTCTTCTTGACTGATTTTGTTTTTATTCTGTCATACTTTGAGACTCTCAGTATGTTGCACATACAGGTTCAGCTCCACCATGACATTGTTTCAGGCCATCAAGCATCGTCTCTTTTGATGTACCTCTGCCTCTTCTGCCGTTGATTTTTCCAGTCATTAAGATGTTTTCCATTACCTCTCATCTCATCACATGGCCAAAAAAAACTGACAGCCTCTTTCTTTTGTGTTGTGTATAGTTTTCTTATTTCATTAGCCATTTCTAGGCAGTCATTTGTCACTCTGCCTGTCAATAATATCCACAGTGTGAATCTCAGAAACCACATCTCCATGACCTCTCTTGTTAACTTGTTAAAATCCCATACCAGGGTTCACAGTCATACAGCAGCACTGGTTCAGAATAACATTTCAGCACTCTTTCTCTTGTGTTTGATGAGTGAGAAATGCTGCATGTCATATTTTTCATCCGTTATATACCACCTTTGCCTTGCGTATTCTGCCCCGAATCTGCCCCGAATGTTAGATGCTATAGTTAGTTAGTTAATTAGTTGGGTTATCATCATTGCACTCCGGAAATGCCCATAGGTGCTCAGATCCGCCCTTCACTATGAACCCCAGCATTCGTTGGCTGATAGTACCAGTTCTAATTTGATTAACAAGGTCTCTGATGGGTCTAGTGTGCGTCTCGTTTTTGCATACCGATCTTAACTCCCAAGTCTATCATTCTGGCAAGTGATCTGGATTCAATGCCCCCAAATCCACCCACCTTCCTATTTCTCAAAGGCATTAATAATATCGTCATGATCCATAGGTTGACCATCGATAGTAACAGTGGATCCAGCCAACCTATCAGCTCTTTCATTCCCATCGACACCTGAATGAAAATGAAGATGACTCCATGCACAGTGTTCTTCTGTAATGACTCATGTGGAATGCCTTTCATTTGTGCAGCGTTTGAGTCATGATATATTTAATATGGCCAGTAGCTAGATGGTCACCATTGGTGTCCAGGCAACATTGGACATGGCATTCCATGTTGTGGAACCTATTACGATGTCACCCGATTTTGATTTAATTTTTGAGTTATGAACAAAATATTGTTTCCTCCCCTAGTGAAACACTTGATACTTTAAACTGACCAGTGGGTATCAAATATCTCTGCATCACACTGTAGCTTTCTGTGGTGCAGGCAGTCCACATGCTGGTCATTAACAGTGAAACTATGGGGGTGACTGCAGTCAAGCTAATACAATGAATTCCAGAGAAATTTGACTAAAAAGCTCAACAAAATGGGAAAGAGGAAAACGTGCACAAAACAACACAACGTAACGTTTCGGCCGGGCAGCCTTTTTCAAACACAAGTGGACTACACAAACGAGGAATGGAGAGTATGTAGATCTCTAAGGGGTGACGTGAGCGACGTTTAAAAAATGTGATGCGGAATAAATGAAATAAAATAAAATAAAATAAACGATGGCTAAAAAATATAGTCACAATACTGGTAATAAAATAAATGCAAGTGTTAATGATACATAAATGATATTGATAAGAAATAGAATATGGTAATAATATGAAATAAAATAAAATAATTAACATTTAAAATGTGATAAGATTAGAACTATTTAGATGAAGGTATGTTGGATATTGATACCTCTTGGACTAAGAACGCCAAGGCAGTGGATAAGGCGATTTTCCAAAGCGAGGCGGGTAGTATGATCGCCAGAGCAAGATTTTAATGCTGTGACAGATATGTCATCCTTACCGCTGTGGTCAGGGCTATTAAAATGAAGAGGGATTGGTTTGAGTGTCTTCTTGTCGATATCAGAGAGGTGTTCCCGGAAACGATCAGCTAGCTTCCTGCCAGTCTCCCCATGTATGCCATGCTGCATCGTTTGCAGATAATTGCATAAATTACGTTGCGGGATTCGCAAGTAAAAGGTTCCCTAATTTGAAAAGAACCATTAGGGAAACTGACCGAAGAAGTCTGGACTACGAAAGGGCATGTTTTGCAGGTGCTGCGTGAGCACTGAGTAGTCCCAAGAGGAAGTGCTGTATGGATCGGTGGGAGTCGGCTTCGGACAAGTATGTCTTTAAGGTTGCGATCTCGTCTGTAAACTAATCTAGGTTTCTCACTAAAGATAATCTTGGTGTCCGGATCAGAGCGGAGGATGTCCAAATGAAATCTACATACTCTCCATTCCTCGTTTGTGTAGTCCACTTGTGTTTGAAAAAGGCTGCCCGGCCGAAACGTTACGTTGTGTTGTTTTGTGCACGTTTTCCTCTTTCCCATTTTGTTGAGCTTTTTAGTCAAATTTCTCTGGAATTCATTGGTCATTAACAGCATTGATTTCTACAGTTAAAGGACTTTACATTTTTTACATTGATTTTTTATAGCCGTTTTATTGTCTCTGTTTTTATGACTTGAAGTTATTCAAAATGCTTAACTGTCTTTGCAAAACTTTGTTTCCTGAAGCCTCTTCGTGCAGTGATCTTAGGTCCTCCTGCATCAGGAAAGACAACCGTCACCAAACAGTTGTGTGATTTTTACAAACTTCATCATATATTGATCAAGGAGATCATTGATGAAGGGTTGAAGAACCTGGTAAGTTAGTTACACCTTACTGCAGATTTATTTCACTGCTTAGACATTTTGTTTATTCTTATGTGTGTGGGTGCGTGCGTGACTGCGTGCTGGGTGGGTGCATGCCTTTGCGTGCTTGGCGGGGGTTGTAAATACTAATACTAATGTGTTTTACAAATTAAACCAATATCTTTGTCATTATGAAATTTGTAACTAATAATGTATGCTGTAATTTTTACAACTGTTGTAATAACAGTGTCAGTTGTGTAGACATGATATCATCACTTCTTTTTAAAGTCCACGCAATGTGGGGTTGGTAGTCATGTCTATCCACAACCTTCTGTCTCGTGTACTTTCAATCAACTCTGACACAGATGATCTTCCATGCCATGATGTCAAACTTTCCAGCATCTTTTCTCTCAGTCTCCTTCTGCCTCTCCTTCCCTCCAACTTTACTACTGTCACAATATACTCCAGTTTTCTCCTTCTCATCACATGACCAAAGAATGTATATTGTCTCTTTCTGATGTGGGCAGTCAGTTCTCTTCATTAGACAGTTTCTTTCAAGACATCCTCATTACTGTTTTTATCTGTCCAGGATTTTCTCATCATTCTCTATAAAACCACATCACCACAGACATATGAAACTAGCCAAAATGACTATTTAGTACCATTTCAGTTAATCAGTTGGTTCAAATTGAATACTGGTGTATTGAAAAATGTGTGTAATTGTTGATTTTGTTTCTGGAAACTGTTTTCCTAATGTTGAATGTTGAATTAAGAATCGACATCATAGCACTCAGGACACCCCCATAAGCGCTCCGCCCCCATCTTCAGCAGCAAACAAAGAGTTCCAATTCCAATGACACCAGTAACTGTCTGATTGTATATCCGTCTCGCCCTTCCGTTCAGTGTTGAGCGTTGGCCAGATCCCCTAGTAACTCTTCGCAGCGCTATTCTCCTGTTTTCCTGAAATCTTTGAGGCTTTGAGTTTTTGTTTCAGATTCACAGAAAAGCATTAAAACTGGTTCTCTGTAAAGACAGTTTTTAAAAAATATTGACCTGGGCTTACAGGTTAACCCAATCAGATACCGATATTAGGAAATATTACACATTACCTACTAAGTGCTTATTGTTCTTAAAAATAAGAGACAATTAAGCACAGATTCACTACTATACCTTTCTTTTTATATAAATCATGACGGAAGTGATTAATAGTGGCGGCTTTGGACTCTACTATGGTAAGCGTATAAGTAATTTGAAATGTGCTGTCCTTGTCTACAGCATGGCCAGTATTCAAAAAGTGGTATGCTGTGGACAAGAGGTGGTCTTTTTGACAGGTCACTTGAATCATGTTTGTTGATTGTTTTTTGTTTTAAAACGCTATTGTTTTTTTTTTTTTCTATTTTCTCATGAGTAAATACCTATGTGTGCACCTGTCTGTGTGCTTATTGTTATTGTTATTATTGTTATTGTTATTGTTAATGTTAGTTTCAGCTTCATAGCAAACGGGTCACCCCATAGTTGCTCCGCTCCTGTGCCAACGAAAAACACACAGAATGTTCATCACAGTTCCTTGTGGAAAGATTGACAGACTGATGTCTACATATGCATTAAAAGCATACAGTAGCCATCAGAAATGCTAACATTAGAAATGCAGTTCATCGTCGATGGTAGCAGAGGTAACCAACAATTCAGCAGTTGCACACGCTATCAATTTTAATAACATAAGGGCACCACCAATATTGCGACGACAGACCATTTTCTGAATCTACAATTCACAACACCAGGTTGATCACAGTCGAAAAACATTCCAAATTAAATCTGAAGCTCACAGGGTCACACCATGCACTCAACTCTGTAGTCTACAAATGGAACAAAAATGCCCGGAAATCTGTCAGTGTGCTTGCAAGTATGTATATATGCATGTATGTAGCATGGATGCTGAGAGAGAGAGAGAGAGAGAGAGAGAGAGAGAGAGAGAGAGAGAGAGAGAGAGAGAGAGAGAGAGAGAGAGAGAGAGAGAGAGAGAGAGAGAGAGAGAGAGAGAGAGAGAGAGAGAGAGAGAGAGAGAGAGAGAGAGAGAATTAATGTAGTCAGATGGAAAAGTCCTGGCTGCTTCTAGTTTCTCTAATTGGAAAAAAAGGGTGATATGATGCAAGAGCAAACATAAGCTTCAAATAAATTTCAAAATAAAAAGTTTAGAATAAGAACTGTAACTTCTAATATATTGCTGGTTAACATTATGGCTGAAGGGTTTAACAAAATAGAAAGCAAATATCAGACTTTTTAGGAGTAAGTGAGATGTATTAAAGAGAACACATCATAAACTTCGTTAAAAGAAAGTTATTTAAACTATTTGTTAGAAGAGAATTTACTAACATTCAGTAACCTTTTAGAAGTGTGAAGCATGTGTTACAGCAGCTTATACTGAAGTGATCATCATCATTGTGTAAACAAAATTATTATTGCACTTGAAGTGTGCGTCATCACTGTTTAAATGAAGTTACTTGAATTAACATTTTGTTTTTATACTAAACAATCTAAATTTCATATGATTTGTTTGATCACTGGCTGTGATAACACAAAAAACAGACTAAAACTATCTTATCAGCTGATTGCGTTATGGCATGCCTAAATAAGCTGTGGGGAGGGGGGGGGGGGGCAATAGAAGACTAGAGTTTCACACTTTTATTGTGATTTTAGCTTCTATTACAATTTTGTAAATTTTTTTTTTTATTTTAGAAGGCTAAAACCAGGCGACAAGAAAGTGAGAATATGGAGGAAGAGGATGAAGAAACTGGAATACAAGAAGCCCAGGAATTACTGGACCAGATCAATGAGAGCAAAGAGAACAATGGTGGTCGCATTGAGGATCACTTTGTTATTAATTTTCTTCGTGATAAACTAACATCTATGCCATGTCAGAATCAAGGATTTATATTAGATGGATACCCTAAAACTATTGCGCAAGCAAAAGAACTTTTCACAGGTGAGTTGTTTCATTGTGTAGTTGCAGACATTATACTACTATTCTTATTAAGACAGATGTAAAAAATATTCTGGATGCATCAACAGTTTCATTTAATAGTTTGTAAAATGTGTTATACTGTTTTTGTAGTACACACGTTGCATCTACCTGCCTTAACATTTCTGTCTTGTTTTCAGATAGTTTTAATGATAGTTGCTTCCATCTCAGTTACACATTAGATGTTTTTGCTGTATATGGTAATTCTACATTCCTTTTGTGGCCATTACTGAATGTTCATCCAAGCACGATCTTTCCTTCCCCTGACATTTTCTGCCTGAGTTGCAGATCTTTTCTTTCAATTCCCAAGCCACGATACCTACAGGGCAGGGCTATTTAACTAAGTTTACTTAGGAGTCACAGTTTTTAAAAAAGGGGTTGTCACAGACCAGAGGCTCAAGCCCCAGCATAGAAAGATCACTCATAATACCATACAGTTTGCAGTGAGCAATGGCGGTGGACAGTGGTTGTTTTTCATGACCGCGTTCATTTCTTACATGGAATAATCTGTGCCAGGATGTAAACCAGGAGTTCATCTGTGTGAAACCATCCTTGAGTTTGATTTCAGCATGTGTGTTTACTGATATTGCATGATGTGTTTGGTTTTTTGTCATTGCAGAACAGAGTTTGTGCCTTGTACACAAAGCAAACAAACCTAGAAATCGACGGGGTCGCAGAGTACAGGAAGGGAAATGCGCCGGGGCCAGAAGAAAGTGGCTTAAATGTGCCTGTCTAGGATTTTTTAAGTGTTTTTACAGCAGACAGCACATGGGTTTGGCCATACTTGTTCGTGACAGTATAAAGGCTTCAGAGGTGGACATGTCTAGGTGGGATAGCAACGAGTTACAAACACAAGTGATCAGTGCAGTCGTCCTTTTGTGTTGATAAATTTGTATGCCTTCAACATGAGCGTGGATTCTCAAAGATGGTAGTGCTTGAGTGAAATTTTAATTCGTTACAAGAATGTCAATTTCTGTGGTGATTTCAGTGCGAAAGGCAGATCATAGGGAAACATTTCTTCCAACACATAGGGGGAGGAGTTTGAAACTGCACTTGAAACCATTAACCTGGTTTGTATTAACAATGGCTGTGTCACCAGGACAGAAAGTCCCCCAGGTGATGAGGACAGTGTTATTGACCTAGCTCTGGTTTCTCCTTCACTCATTTCAGTGTGTTGATTTGGTGTCCTAGGGTACCATGGCAGCGACCACCACCCCTGCAGCATACTGGTGGAGAAAAGCAGAGGTAGAAAGTAGAAGCTAAAAGTCTAAATGTTTAATTACGACATTTAAGGACAGAATGTGGTGTGTAAACTAAGGCAAAACAAGCTCATGAATCAGCACGGAAAGAAAAAACGCTGGGAGCAGCCTCCTTGGTGAAACTATGACATGGAAAAAAGCATGTGTTGTGCTGTAAAAAGTGACAAAATGCTCAACACAGAACTGGTGTCGTGAGCCACTACTCGCTGCGTGATTTACTATAGCGGGGAACCAAGAACTTATGTTCTGAAGGGTTCGATGTGCGGTAAGCAAATCTGTCAACTAACTAACTAACAGTTTGCAGTGATCCACTGGCCACTTGCTAGGCCTCGACAGGTCTGATTTGAGCAGTGGGCTGCTAGTTGAATAGCCCTGCTCCATATCTTGTCTTGGTTTTCAGACTGCTGTTCGTCCATCTATTTATATTGTCCTCCCATATATACCATTGTCTACAACCTTTTGTTCTCTTGTCCTAAACTTTTCTCTCCGGCATGGTTTTTTTTAAAGTGTGTAATATCTTTTAATGTGGCCAAAGTATTTCAGTAGTCTCTTTTTTTATCAATTCTGTTTGCATTTGTAGTCACTGCAAAACCTCTGTATTGGACTTTTCCTCCCATGAAATACCACCTATTCTTTTTTCTAGCTGCTTATTCATTGTCCATGTTTCTGCACCATACATCAAAGTTTAATATACATAACATTAGCTATATAGAAACATTGCTCATCAGTAACTATGCTTTTTAGATGGCCACCGTAAATACCACAACAGCCTCCTGTCCACCTCAAATGTCAGTGGAGAAAGTGGAGGACAGGACAAAACATTTGGGTCTAGAAACAGTCATTGAGCGTTTCGTCTTTCCTGACGATAGTGTTATAGTGTGTTATGGGCAAGCATATCAATCACAGCAAGTTAAGGCCAGGGATGATATTTGTCTTCTCTAAAGCACAAAAACTGTGCATCATTGAAGAGGCCAGGTGTTGCCCCTGCAAGATGATCCCTCACTCGTCCTGCCTTGTTTACTCAAAGGCAAAGGTGACATCAATATGTTTGGAACAAAGCTTGCTGCGAAAGCTGCTGGATCTCTCTGTCTGCCTGTTACAGCTTTTTTCATAGACTAATTACATTAGACACCAAGCTCACCCAGAAGCCAGACTCGGAAGAATAAAATCCTGCCCAGTCAAAATGTATACTCATTGTAATGAACTTAATGTATGGAACATACTGGAAGCCAGAAGCAACAAAATGAACTTGTGAAACATATCATCATCATCAACTGGCGTAGGCGCTCATGCGTCTGGGTAGATCACGATCCCTGGTTGACTGGAACGGCTCTCTTGATGATATCCCTCCATGCCATCGTTTTAGCCCATTCAGCACCATCTCTCTTGGTCTGCCTCTGCCCCTTTTTCCACTGATCTTTCTAGTGGTCACGATGTTCTCCAACGTCTCTCTTCTCATTTTGTGGCTAAAGAACAGTGTTTGTCTCTTTCTTATTGTTGTATATAGAGATCTACTTTCATTGTGAAATCTATACAAGATTCAAAATTTTAACTAAGGAATAACATATGGAACATTGAGCAGCACACCCACAGACAGTACAGATCCCTTACTTAGTCTAAAGAGCTTAAGAGGCTTCTAGCCTATTTGTTGAACCATAGATTTTAAGAAAAAACTATGAAGAAAAAGTATAAATATTTTGCAAGAGAAACTTTGACTCAACATGCAAATATGAAAACTGACATGATGTAACTCTCACACAGAATTATAGATTAACTTCCATTCTTATTCAGTACAGCTCTGGAAATTCCATGAATCACAAAACAAACAAAAAAAACGGTCAGAGCAAAGAGCTTTTTGACTTTAAATACTCAGCATCCCTCTAATATTTGGACACGCTTGTTTACAGTTTTGGTAAAGAAGCCACAGAAAAAGGAATTGGGGGAATCTACATTACACAACCTAATTGCAACACAGGGACACAGTCAGTATCGACCTGGGAAGATTGCACCAACTTCAGAGCAGGAGCAACAACCCTCCTTCAAACTGAGCAGACTCCCAATACTCCAGTTTAACTGAATAAAAAGCTTTCATATTCACATAGGTAAAATCAGTCCTCCAAGACATCTCACACTCTAAACAAGACAGTGTCCAAAAAAAAGAAACAAAAAGAGACAAACACCTAAATGCTGTCCATAAGAACAGAACTATTAGCAGTGAATTTCACCCTACTGTGGACCCCTAGAAATTTTGGAAAAGCAGAGATTATGAAGACTACAGAAAACCTTATGCAGCCCCGTCTGTCTCAGAGCTTTAAAATGCCAAAGACACTCCTAAAACAGTATATAAAGTTAAACTGCAGAGACAACTACAAAGATTACAGACCAGGGCATGTTGTAAGGCAAGGAAAGAAAGACAATACAAAACAAAACAACATTGTTTCATTCAATTTATTTGATTTCAGAAGGCTCATTTCAATGCAAGGAATAGACTAAAGAACTTGGTTACAACTGGCAGGACTTATAGAAAGAGGACAGAGGAAAGCAAAAAAATACCTTGATGGCTTGTCACCTACATGGTGACCAGCAGGAGCACCACCCAATAAAGGATTCTACTGATCATGAAGGGTTGTCAATAAAAACCACATATGATTTTTGGCATGGCACATGATGATAATGAAACTTCAAAAGAGAGGGAGTGCTGGGTGATTTTTTTTTTTCACTGAAAAGGGAGTTGGGGCAAAATAAACAGTTTGGGAAACACTGGTCTAAGCCATACTCTGCATTCTGCCTGTTGTCTTTTAACTTCCGCTGGTAGTTCTCTGTTATCAGCATATCTCAGATTGTTTATTGTTCTTCCACACACACACACACACACACACACACACACACACACATGCAGATATATATATATATATATATATATATATATATATATATATATATATATATATATATATATATATATATTTATATTTATATATATATATATATATCACAGATGGACGGAGTATATATGGGAATTGTATGATGATAATAGACCAGATGTAGAACTGCAGACCAACAATGATGGTCCACCAATAATGACTGCAGAAGTTAAGGATGCAATACATCATATGAAAAAAGGAAAAGCACCCAGGCCAGACAACATCTCACTGGAAGAAATCGAAGTCAGAAAGAACTACAGGAAATGATAAACATTGTGGTGTTAGAAAGTGGAAGAATGGGCCTCAGTTTGAATAATGGGAAGACAGAAGTAATGGTGGTATCAAAGAAACAAACTATTCCTAAGTGTGTAATAAAAGTTGATAGTGTTATTTTAGGACAAGTACAGAAATGTAAGTATCTGGGCACGTGGATAATGTCAGATGGAAGATGCATAACTGAGATAAGAAACAGAATTGGACAGGCAAAAACTGCATTTTATAAAATGAAAAACATCTTGTGCAATATATCCTTGTCATTGAGAGTTAGAAAAAGAATTCTTGCTTGCTACATACATCCAGTTTTAACATATGGATGTGAATCCTGGACAATTGGTAGGCAGGCCAAACAATTTCTGGAGGCCTCAGAGATGTGTTTTTACAGAAGAATGCTTAGAATAACTTGGACAGCCAAAAAGAGCAACCAAGAGGTTTTGAAAGAGGTGGAAGCCCGAAGACAACTTATCACAGACATCAGAAGGAGACAGTCATCATTTTTCGGCCATGTTATGAGAAGAGGGAAAATAGAACATGTTGTGACCACTGGAAATATATTTGGAAAGAAAGATAGAGGAAGACAACGAGATAAGATGCTTGACAGTCTTGTTGCATGGCATGGAGGTGTGTTGGCACACGAACTGATACATGCTGCAGAAGATAGCAGATTATGGAGAGGCATGATCGCCCACGTCAGTCGGCAAGGCACCTGATGATAATATGTATATATATATATATATATATATATATATATATATATATATATATATATATATATATATATATATATATATATATATATATATATATATATATATATATATATATATATATATATAAAAGTTCTCAAACTGTTCTTTGTCTGTTTCTTATCTTCAAACTGTTATCTTTGACCATAAAAGGTTTAATTTCTTACTTCTTTCAGTGTTAGCTAGTTACTGTCAATGTACATTAAATTTGTTTTCTTTTGTGGCCATAACTTTTGTTTGCATTTTTATTTTATATTGGTTTTTTTATTTTTAGTCCAATCTTTTTACTTGTATAATTTATAATAATTTCAGTCAGTCCTTCAATTGATTTTTTTTTTTTAAGTTGGGCAAATATTTATTTTATTAATTTATTTCACTAATACTGTTACTGATTATTAAAACAGTTTCCCCTGAAGGTGATGAGGAACCCAGCAGTGAAGAATCTGTGAAGTTTAATACACTGATCATGCCAGAATTTGTTATCAGCTTAGAGGCCAGCGATGATTTTCTCAAACATCGAGTCATGAACCTGTCAGAATCTGTTGTTGCGGATACTCACAATACAGAAAAGGAATTATTGCGTCGTCTTGCAGAGTACAGGGCAGTAAACACTGATGATGACAGTGTACTTAGTTACTTTGATGAGCTTGAGTTTCTGCCAGAGAAAATTGGTATGACATACATATTTGCTGTTACATTGTTAAATGTTTTATTAAAATTACTACTTATCACTGTTTGAATATTCAGTGAGTAAATGTTAGTATAGATTATTTTGTTGATTATTGTTTTTGCATGCAAGACTCCAATATTATGACAGTTTTATTGATTAATAATTCTTAACATATCTTGATCATTCCTAATCATCGTCATCATCATAGCCCCGTTACAGTACATGTTGTTGGGTCACCAGTTGCTCTTGACTGTTTTATCAGTTACCATCCTCTCTGTCTGTCAGAAGCAATGAACTTGGACAAAGAAGATGAGAAATATTGACATCTTAAAAGATCTGAACATCAAGGAAGATTGGCTAATAAACAGCATCTGTTCTAGAAAGCTGAAATTTGTGGTCATATCAAGGGCCACTGCGGATTGGAAAAAATTATAGCAGAAGGCATGGTACCAGGAAGGAGGGGCAGGGGCCGACCGACACGAAGGTGGGCACATGATATAAGTGACTCCTTGAGTGTGAAAGTGCATGAAGCGGGAGAACTGGCGAGAGACCGAGTTTCTTTCAGGCAGACTGTGATGAGAGCGACGTTCTGCAAAGGACCTGCTACATGATGATGATGAGTTTATTCAATCATTGGAGCACTCATACTGGAAAAGGCAGATATCCTGAAGACCGTATATGGACATATGTTGATGGAAGATAGGATTTTAGATGAAACAACATGCAAGGTAGCATAAATTTGGAATAAGTGTGGATCCTGTCAGAAAGGACATACAAGAGGAAGAGTATAATGTGTGTGCAACCAGTGTGCTACTGGGGCAGTCAGAGCTTCTCTGGTGTCACTTCTTAAATCAGTAATCTGTAATTTTAATGTTGAATTGTGAATCAGCATCACATCACTTGGGACACTCCCATATGTGCCCCATTGTCGCCAACCCACATGGGAATATACACTTATATAGTGAGTGTGTGGGTTTGAATCCTAGCAAACGCCTCATTTGTCAGGTTTTTATCCAACACTGCACACCCACGTAAGAACTGGATCAATATCTGAGCCATGTTAATCCTCGACACAGTCCTGAATTACCAAGAGAACATCAAAAGTGGCTCGTACAATAAAATAAAAGCAGCTGTACTTGTATCCACAGGAGTAGGAAAAGGGATAGATAGATATCAAGATAAATTCAATAAGATAATATCAAGATACACAGTTAACCCCTCCGACTTTCTCCTCCCCTGGTATAATTTACAACTAAAGCCCCCGTCTAGGGATTTACATTTAAGTGAGCTGAGGTAAACTAGTATACACAAAGACACATGAACCTATGTACACAATTTACTCAACTAATTTATAATTTACATGTATAAGATTTTATTGATTAAATCTAACCAAAAATAAATGATGGTATTAATCATGAACATAATAAAAGATAATAGCTCAGTGATGGTAAGGTGTTAGTCAGTGAGTTCAGTACCTGCATAGGCTAGTAGAGTGAGGACGGTTTTACGATGATGATAACGTAACTTGAAACAAATTAAGAAAATAAACTTCCGGCAGTTCTCAGTTTAAAACCCTGCCTATCCTTTTCCAGTTCGTTATCCTCACTGCTTCAAGCAGGTCGTTACACTCAGACTGTCTTTCCCTCCCTAGAGTCCACTCTTTTATAACTTCTTCTAAGTTCCTCCTCTCCTCCACCCAAAACTGCTCTCATTCAAGGGATGATGCAAAAACTCCTTCCAGTAGGGTAAGTACATTCACTGTCAGTCAGGACTGCACAACACTTTTTTGCATTTCCATGGTTACATTCTCATGGGCCATCAAGCTGGACATAGCTTTGCATGGTCATAAATGAGTCCCTCTGCACCTTCATCGTACAGGTGTAAACACTAGTTATCTCACCTACACTCAAGTGGGGTAATCTCAGGGGGAGGGGGGAGGGATGATTATTACATTATCAGAGTTGCCTGTCCTGATGGTCTGGCCTCACAGCTAATTATCCAACACCTCAAGTTAGGTTGTCAGTACATTCAATTTAACTGTAGCCACCCAGTTTACCTGGTCATTCTAATCTGAATTATCTGACACCTCAAACACTCTGCAAGGGTACTGATGTTTGACTTCAACAGTACAAAAAATAAATTAAACGGCTTTGTTCTGGATGGCCTTGACTTAGGTTAGATCCAAGCCCATATTCCCCTCTCTAACTCAAAATACTTAGAAAAATTATGTTCAGTAAACACACGTTCTGTAGTCACAAATCGTGTCGTCACATCCATCCCCTTCAGCAGCATGCGAAGAGTTCCAATTCCGATGGTACCAGTAGCTGTCTGATTTTACATCCGTCTCGCCTTTCTCTTGAGTGTTGAGCATTGGCCAGATGGTAACTTCCTGTAAGGCCATTCTCCACAGACCATAATGATCCGTGTATACCTCTGCACTGTTCACTCATCCCAAAGGCTCTCACAACATCTTGCTTGGTGCAGAACCAGCCAGTCTATGTGCCTGCTCCTTCCCCAACACGCCAGCATAAATTGGAGAAAATATTCAAAGGACGCTAACTCTGAAGTGCTACTTGCCAGTCTGTACGGAGAATGTCTGTCTCCACCTTTCTCAGTATATTCAGTGAGTCATTTACAATTACAACATGTGTGTACAGCTGATTTTCAAGCCAGTGGAAGGCGCTGGTAATTAGTAATCAGGTTTTTAATCAAGGGTATTTTCTGCAAAATGCTGATACTTATGTAACACGTGGATTTCAGTCTGAGATCAAACTATAAGACTATATCTGCATTATGGTTTTGACAGTGTCCTTATAGTCTAATATAACAGTAATTTCCAAAATGGGAATCATTAATTCAAATAGCGGTTGATTCTTTCAGGATCTTTTTGAAGATACATCATATCATGTTAACATTGCAGAGCTTAACATTTTGCACATTTGTATACTTTCATATGAAGTGTACTTGACACCTACTTTGCATACTCATCATCATCATCAGGTGCCTTGCCGACTGGTGTGGGCGATCATGCCTCTCCATAATCTGCGATATTCTGCAGCATGTATCAGTTCCTGTGCCGACACACCTCCATGCCATGCAACAAGACTGTCAAGCATATTCTCTCGTTGTCTTTCTCTATCCCTCCTTCCACAGATCTTTCCAGTGATCACAACATGTTCTATTTTCCCTCTTCTCATAACATGGCCGAAAAATGATGACTGTCTCCTTCTGATGTCTGTGATTAGTTGTCTTCGGGCTCCCGCCTCTTTCAAAACCTCTTGGTTGCTCTTTTTGGCTGTCCAAGGTATTCTAAGCATTCTTCTGTAAAACCACATCTCTGAGGCCTCTAAAAATTGTTTGGCCTGCCTACCCATTGTCCAGGATTTACAGCCATATGTTAAAACTGGATGTATGTAGCAAGCAAGAATTCTTTTTCTAACTCTCAATGACAAGGATATATTGCACAAGATGTTTTTCATTTTATAAAATGCAGTTTTTGCTTGTCCAATTCTGTTTCTTATTTCAGTTATGCATCTTCCATCTGATGTTATCCATGTGCCCAGATACTTAAATTTCTGTACTTGTCCTTAAATAACACCATTGACTTTTATTATACATTTAGGAATAATTTGTTTCTTTGATACCACCATTACTGCTGTCTTCCCATTATTCAAACTGTGGCCCATTCTTCCACTTTCTAACACCACAATGTCTATCATTTCCTGTAATTCTTTCTGAATTCGCATACTATTTGATTTTAAAATAATTTAATCAGGTACTTTTATGTATTGTCTGTTTCAGATGTCACAAAGGATACTTCTGAAATGATGAAGGACACTGTAGAAAAGATTAAGAAAATCTTTGGTAATACAAGGAATTATGGTATGTTTATGAAGTTTGATGCCCGGTTATTTCAAGCACAGAATTAATATTTCCTTGCATATTTTATTTCAAATAAAATTTTGAAAATTAAAATTAAAGACAACATGCTAATAGAATTGCTGCTGAATTAATAGCAGAAGTTAGTCATTTAAAGATTACTAATTAGTAAAACCAGTTTGAATGACGGAGAAATTGCCTAATCAGTGGAAAGAGTCATTATAAATAAAAATACATTTCTTTAACAAAGGAGGCGGTCACAAATGTGAAAATTATAGAGGAATGTCAGTATTGTCTACTTACTATCAGCAGTACTGTTAACCAGACTGAAACCATGTGTGAAAGATATATTAGGCTATTGCCAGGTGGGTTTTTGACTGAACAGAGCAAAAGTAGATCAGATTTTCTTCTTTAAGGCAAATAGCAGAGACAAAAAAGAAATATCACAGAAGTGACTTGTTATCAAAAAAAGGCATATGATAGTGTACATGGAGTTTGTGAAATGCTATGCAGGAATCTGGAATACCAGACAAGTCAATCGTTATGACCAGACTATATGACCCTTTTAAATAACATCCGGTTTAAAGCAAGGGGTTCTTTCCCAGTATCTTTTCCCAGATTATGTCACGGGACAGTCCAAAATTTTAGAGGGTGCTAAGACCGGGTTTCTTGTGTGTTGCCGCATTTCTTCCAGCGGTGTGTTGCCATTTCTTTTCCAGTAGTATGAGTTCAGTCTTCATTGCTATGAATTTCCTTGAATCAGCAGCATTGGTGCCTGACAAAAAGAACAGCATTGCTTTCCTGCAACATCATGGCATTCTGCATAGTACCAGACGTTGTGGCAACAATCATGCGATGGTGCATACCAATAGAACTGCCAAATTATTACATTATACGCTTCATCAACCACCCCCTGAAATATTAGACTGTCCAATCACATGTAGATTTTCCCTGTTGGTGTAGGATATTGGGAAAGAACCAAGCAAGGTTATACCCTGTCCCTGCTTTTTTCAACTTGGCCCTACATAATATTATAAGGACGCTGAAGGAAAAGTGTATGATCTTTAGGAGACACTACAAGAATGCTTGGTTATGCAGATAACATAGTTATGGTTGGGAAACAAATTGGAGTTAGTAGAAACTCAGTTCTAAAAATTGGACTACTTATTAATTAAGATAAATCATAATACCTGGTAATAACAAGATAGGTACAGGGTTAAAAACTCGGACCACATACAAGTTGATAATATGAAAGTGAAAAGAACAGACTCGAACAAGTGCTTGGGTGCAAATATTATCTGCTCTAACATATTAGGAGAAGAAATATAATCTTGAATACACTCAGAAATAAAGTATACTATGACCTACAACATCTGCTAAAATTAAAGGCTTTATCTCCTAATGCCAAAATCACAATATATAAAACACTAATAAGACAAATTGTCTTTAAATGGCTCTTAAATCTGGAGCACAGCTAAAAGAGATAAAGCCTTATTACAAATTTTTGAAAACAGTCCTACAGTGAATCTTTGAAAAAGTCAGAGATGCAAACAGTGGGGAATAAAGAGTGAAAAACAGCTACAAAATTCATATTCTGTTTAAATCACCACAGATCATTAGGCAGTATAAGGGCTAATAGACTGAAATGGCTGGAATATATAGAGAGAATGGCAGATGACAAAGAGGCAAAATCTGTATACACAAATAAATTGAATGAGAGTAAACCATGAGATAGACCAAGAAAATTGTTGAGAGATATTTATCCAGGCAGACCTACAAACACTTGGAGTCAACAACTTGAAAGAGAATCCAAACACAGGGATGATGTCCTTGGCCTGGTAGTGTCTGGACAATGTGACCCTCATTCTTCAGCTGCATCGTCTTATTGACAACTGTTGGCCCTGGTAGTCATGTCAGCAAGTGAACTATGCTATAAACTATGCTGTTTGTCATTGGTACTAAGTGTAGGGAATTATGTCAACATGTCTAGCCTATGGCACTTATAAACTAGACACCAAAGAATGAGAATTATATTAGTTATTCTGTTTCTTGTTGGCTTATGGACATGAAACTGTCACGTAAGCTTGACCTCTGCGACCACTGTCTCTGTGAAAACTTATCTCTGCTAGTCAGCATGTCTCCCACATTGCCCTCTCTGAAATTAATAGTGGCACTGTGTCAGTAAAGTAAAGCACCCAGTACCCACTCAAGGCTGGGTCGACCTGGAAGCCAAGGTCATTTTTGAAAAAAGTCAGGCTCTGCCAGGGAGTGAACCCAAGACCTTCCGATCCGCAGCAAGCGTCTAGCCGCTCGGCCACGGTGACTCCCGGCACTGTGTCAGACTAACTAGAATGTCCATTTTCCTTTTCTATCTGTTACCTTGTCACAGAATGAAAGGACAAACTTCCAAATCTGCATTACTCGACACTCTTAAAAACAATGTGCAACTTAAAAAAGTAGGTCAAGACAAACGATTAGGAATGGCATGGTGAAATAACTATGTCAAAGATATCATTCTAAAAAGAAGGCAGCATACAGAAAAATAGATTAAATCCAAATGTGAACAAGATTCTGTTACATATATATTAAAAGTTTAAAACGAATGATCAAAGCTTCTAAGAATGAATCAGGGAAAAAGTATGGAGAGCAAATGGCCCCACTTAGTTTTTAGAAGTTCCCCTAAAGAATTTTACAAACAGGTCAAAAATATGAGAGCAAGAGATTAATGCTATAATCCAACCACCGTTAGAAACAACAAGAAAGACAGTCTTGTATTTAATCCACATCAAAGGCAAACAAGATATAATATTTTGAAGAGTTACTCAACCCAGAAGTGAGATAGATAACGTAAGTTTTATGCCTAAAAGTGGTGACCAAGATTGATCAACAAAAGAGCTCTAAAAACAAAGCACCTGTTTAAGGTGGAATAACAACAGGAGCTATTCAAGCATGTGGTCAAATCGGCATTGAATGGCTAACAAGAATTTTCAGTACAGCATGGGAAGAAAGAAAAGTTCCACTTGACTGGCAGCAGCCATTAATAATACCAATTTGGAAAAGGAAAGGTAATACAAGAGATGTATATCATTCTTGAGCCACATAGGAGAAATGTATGTAAAGTTATTAGAACAGAGAGTTAGTCCTATAACGAAGCAGCATTTAAGTACAAGACAATTTGGTTTCAGGCAAGGAAAAGGTTGCACATAGGCATTTTCTACACTCAGACAAGTTTGTGAGAAATGAAAAATGAGGATGAACTGAATATTTTGTTTGTAGATCAAGAAAAAGAAAACTATGAGCTATTCTTGAGGATTACATGTTACAGGGATAGTTGCTAGATAACATCTAGTCATGTACCACACTTCCCAAAGCGCAGTGAGAAGACAAAAAGGCATTCTGATATGGTCAGCAGAATTCCTAGTTTGCTACATATCGGGTTGAATTGTACTTGTCTGAAGCAAGTTAAAGAATATAAATATCTAGGTAGTATACTCTTGGAGGGTGGAGGAATAGATCAGGAAATAGAAACAAGATACCATCTAGCCAGTGCACTTATATACCAACTGACACCATTATTATGACATCCAAACATAAGTATGAGCGCCAAGAAAAAGATTATAAACAGCATATTTATACCAGCACTATGCTACTAGTACCAGACAAAGGATAACCTACATAAAATTAACACCTGTGTAATGAGATGCCTGAGAAAAGCCGCCAACTTAACCATCCAAGATAAAGTTAGAAATGATATTATCATACAGTCTGCAGAAACAACACCATGCAGCAGATTAATTTGGAAACAGAAGATCAAATGGCTTGGTCATTTAGTAAGAATGAAGTCAGAACAACTACCAACACAGGTGCTGCACATGAAGAGATCTGAAGTAAAAGCAAGAGGCCGCCCTAGGAGAAGAATGATTGATGACATTAAAGAGCTTCTACATCAACACAGAATAACAATAGCCACTGCTGCCCATCAAGCAATGGATCAAAAACTGTTCCTCCCCACAACACTTAACAGCAGAAGTGGAAATTGATGATGATGATGACCTTGTTACATTTTAATGTTAATGATGTAGAAACATAAAACTGAAAACTTACAATAGAACATCAAATGCAGGTATCTATATTAATAAAAATGTTAATTTTTTGATGTTGTTATTTAAAAACTCAGAAACTACTGAACCGATTGCTTTCAAATTTGCACACAATGTTGCCTTTGACTCCAATCGTGACTTTTTGTCCGAAAATCGCACAAACCACGAACGTCGTAGCTCCAGCAACGGTCAAATCATTATTTGATTCGTTGCTGGCTCAGATTTGTTTTTAGTTAATTTACCATATTTGACTGCTGAGCTCTTATTGAACTTTGCATTATTATATAATTTCATTTCCAATCTCTGCTTGAGTGTCTGGTAGCGTAGCTGGTAGCTCTTCTGCCTATCATGTGGGTGACCCGCGTTCGATTCCTCGCTAGGTGATATAATTTTTTTTTAGCCCTTAACTGGCCGGCTGGCACGTTGTGTTGTGGTTTATATCTACGCCTTTTTCAGTTTGGGGGTTTACAGCTAGCGGCTACGTGAGGCTCAATGGTCATGTCACAGGTAATCTTCGTTTACCCTCTGGAGGGCCGTTGGCACGTTGTGTTGTGGTTTACAGCTAGGCTGCAATATCTGACCTAAAACTCTTCAGTCGTTGGTAGTATAGTTGTAAGTATGTCTTCCTTCAGGCAGGTGACTGGTGTTCGATTCCCCACTGATAATTGTTCTTTTTCCCTTAAAAGGGTGGTTGCCACGTTGTGTTGTGGTTTACAGCTAGGCTGCGATATCTGCACCTTTCGCCCAGAGACATCCGATTTTAGTTAGGTCCTAATTAGCCTCCCTGCGACGCTTCTCGGTTAAAAACTATTTGGCTAGTTTTTCCTCATGAAGAACTTTACATTTCTTCTGTTTATTTCCTGCCTTTATTAAATTAAACAATTTTCTTTGGGATCCCATAGTGTGACACTAGTAGTTAGGAATGATTTAAACAGATGATAAATTTCATTAATGCCTCCTCTCTCCATTCTCCTCTGTTTGCATCTTTCATGAGTCCAAAGATTTGTACTGTTTCTGTTCTCAAAAGTTTGTTCTATGGCTTTGTCTCTTTTAGTTATACTCCAGGTTTCAGAGCCAGATAAGATAATTGGTCTATAAGTGTTTAATATATTGTGATCTTGGTGTGATTTTGGTGTTACAAGATGAGGCATTTAATTTTAGTAAAGGTTTTAGGAATTTACTTTACTTTCAGACTGTATTCAAAATTGTATGTCATCTTTTGGTATGTTGGAGCAGTTGAAGTTTGTACCCAAGTACTTGTATGTTTCCGTTCTTTTAATTTTCATACCGTCTATTTGTATTATCAGGAACCTTTATTGTTTCCCTATCTTTATACTACTTTGTAATCTGTCTTGATAACTAGTCCAATTTTTGAGCTACTTCTTTGAAGTGAATCAATGTTTTTACTGTAGTTTATTTTCTCCTGCTATATATGTGTTATCTGCTGAAGCAAGCCTTTTTGTTGTTTCTCTTGTAGCACAATATTATTTTACTTTCCTCAAACTTTTCTCTAAGGTATAGCTGAACAGAAGCAGGGTCAGCACATCACCTTGTTTTAAACCAGATGTTATTTAAACAAAAAGGTATCACTTTCTTCCTTTATATGTTGCTACAATATAAGTGTACTAAAGGTGCTTTATAGGAAATAAAATACACTATTTGAAAGTTCTTCCAAATTACAAATTTTATTTAAAAAATAAAAATAAAAAATAAAAACTTAGGCCTGGAACTTAAATAATCAGCTCTCATATTATTATTATTTTTATCTTCTTGCTTCTCAAGCTGAACCACTTTTTAATTTTCAACAGTCAGTCATTTTCTGTAAAGCCCTCTGATTTATTGCTATTAAAACAGTGTCATTAGAACTATGTTCTCGTTATATGCACCAAAAGCAAGCAAGAGTATTTCTCTGTAGATCAAATTATTTGCTTACTTTTATAATGAAAACAAATCGCTGACCAGTACACATCCTTGTCTGATAGTTTTACGTGTTGCTATGTTCCTAAATAGTTGGTAATATCTATACATTAGATATTTTATTAACTGTAGTATGTTATTTATTTTATCTTTATCAGGACTAACACCTGAGGAACTTGAGAAAAATATACAGACTGAAATGGAGATTAAAATAAAGAAAGAAGCTGAAGAAAAGGCTGAAAGGGAAAAACAAGAAGCAGAGGAACTTCAAGAAAGGAAAAGAAGGCAGGAGGAATGGGTATGTTGGCATATTTAATTGTTAGGAAATATACATTTTTATTTAACCCTTTAGCTGCTATGAACATAATTATATGTTTGCCCAGTAGACTGGTAAGGACATCTTTATGTATCTTTCTTTTCTGTTCATCTTCTATCACTTGCATTTAGGTGTATTTAAATCCCATAGTTTACCATAGAAGCGTGGTCGGTGAAGTATATATTTTTGCCCTGTTAATACATTTCTAATTTTGCATTAGTCTACATTTTTTAAAAGACACAAAATAGCAAGAAAACTAGCTAAATAAGGTTGATGAAGAATTAATGGAGTTTCTTTCAAGGAGTAATAGGAAGGATCACTTTAAAATGTGTGAGTTATGAGCTGGGTTATCTTCGCTGCACTCTAGCGGACATGTGTACTTTGCTGTGAACAAGACCATCTGACCCAGCCATCAGCATTGACTAGATTTGAAATGAATCCCAGTGATCAACAAGAGAATATGTCATATACTGACATGATGATTAAAATTAAGTTTCTTCTATACTATACAACAGACAATGCAAGCGCCACATTTTACAATACTGGCTTTATTTTTAGTAATTATTATTATTATCAGAAGCTGAAATATTTTAGTCATATCAAGCGCTACGACTTTTTGGAAAAAAATTATTGCAGAAGGCATGGTACCAGGAAGGAGGGGCCGAGGCCGACCAACACGAAGATGGGCATAGAATATAAGTGACTCCTTGAGTATGAAAGTTCATGAGGTGGGAGAGCTGGCGAGAGACCAAGTTTCTTTCAGACAGACTGTGATGAGAGCGACGTTTTGCAAAGGACCTGCTACATGATGATGATTATTAATATTATATGAAAAATAAAGTGTCATAGGAAGATAATCATATGTAGAAGCTCGAGCTTGTGGTTGGTCTTAGTAGAGTTGAAGCGTACGCAGTAAAAATCTTCACTGTCGAGGTAGACGCAAGAGGTCTTATCTCCACTTCCATGTACAATGTGCTAAAGCAGCTGGGCTTGCGAGGAAACAAGCATAAAAGATCACTAAAACATCTGAGTGAAGCTGCTGAAATAGCTTCGAGCTGGCTCTGGATGCAACTGAACATCGTGGGGAAATGGGCCTCAGTAGGCTGGTCAGAGACCATGGCGGAAAAGAGCTTCTTATCCCTTAAAAAGCCAAAGTGTCTGATAAATATCTGCCACTGTCTCGTTGCCAAAGGCCAAAGTCTAACAATTCTCTGATGAACCAGCCATAAGCTTGTCATATGTTTGTGAAGGTAGTCAACTGATCTCATTTCTACCATAGCGACAATATAACACCAAATCTCACAGCACCTGTTAAGTCACCATATCGTCTTGTCCCTGTCAAGTCTGATGAAGTGCGAGCAGGTGAAGATCAGGGCCTGGCTTCATGACCCAGATCAGCCTGCCCTCCAAGATTGTTTAGGAAAGCAAAGGGCTGAAACAATTGTCGATGAAGGATGACCGGTGGACCCCTGCTGTGCATGTTCCTGTGTGGAGTTCTTCTTATTATTATATGAGATTCTAGTGTAAAATTGAATAATGTGTATTCAATATTCTGTTGAGAATTTTAAAAGCTGATGTAGTCTTGCCAGTGGATGTCAAAATTTCTGTCTTTCTATTTCCTGGATGATCAAAATTGTCTCTCAAATTACAAACCTGAGTAGGTAGTATTGGCACTCATTGGTTAATGTGGTCAGTATCATGCCGGGCCGCCTTTACTTCCCATGACATTTCCTTCTATATTTTTTTTAGCTTGGGTTGACCTGGGAGCCAAAATTATGTATTTTCTTTTTAAATCTGTCTAGTGCAGATTCAGACTACTCGTTTGGGGGGATTTTAACAATGGCTCCTATCATTTGGGATTTTTTCATCTGCCCATATTCTGTTTAACTGATCTTTAAATTTATTTATTTGAATCATCTGATGCCTTGAGCATTTCAGCAGTAGTATCTTCATCACCTGTCACTTAATAGTTTGATAAAAAGGAATTCATTGCCTCTGCTTTCTGCAAAATTTATCTGCCCTTCATCTATTTGAAATGCCATCACGCTGATCTTTTTATCAAAATTCATTTTTTTCGGATCGACATAGTCTATTTAAAGTCTATTGGAACTGTTCTACCCATTGTTTCTTCTGCTCAGCATCAGATATAAGCATTGAATCATCTTTACTCTTGATTTGACCACCCATAAGTTTAAAAGTACCACTTAGTTTAATTACTTTATTACACAGTATTTTGTTATTTTAACTCTTACCTGCCTGCCCTTCTTCTGCAGGTAGTCTATCGTTTTCTGTTTTCAGTATCTGTAGTTCACCTTTTGCTGGCTGTAATTCATTCTTTAGTGGTTCTTCACTTGCTATCCCACATGTAATAGCTATCTGGTTTTCACCCGATGCAGCCGACTGTAACATAATTGTGGCTTCTTAATTACTCCTCCTTTTGTTGAGTGTGTGTGACTGCAACGTTAGCCACACCTTTATTAATTTTGTACCAAAGCTAGATTTTCTCAGGTTTGGGCATCTTTGCTCTGGAAACTGACCCAGCTAGCACATGTACTGATGGTCTCTCTAAAATACAGACTTCAGCAGTACTCTTAAAATATAGATCGTTTAGATACACACTAGCTAACGGAAAATTTTTTTAATGGTCACCAGATTTGTAGTATTTTACATGCTGACCTAGGTACATGGATTTTGGAATAAAATATCTCACAGTTCCAAATACTTTAGCTCATGTGTCATGTAGTACTTTACATTTAATACAACCCATGTACCCATTATCCAGGTACAGGTACCACCCACCAATGTATCTCAGAAAGCTCTAAGTATTTGACTTCAGGGTGAAATCAAACCTTTTTGCCTGCTTATTGGTCATCTTGTGTGGCATGGATGAATCAGCTATTTGCACAGAATTGCTTGGTTATTAAGTACTCTCGGGCATATAGAGCATTTTTTTTATCCCCGGCAGATATTACAGCATATGGGACGTGTGCCATGCTGAAATTTACCTTGTGCTTAGAGACCATCATGTCACCCTCTTCTGTTGCCTGTGGGGACACTCCCATCTTTTATAACACCATGAAGAATGGACAGGACAGTCAGATGAATGGGCATAATAGTTATTAACTTGCTGCTTGGAAATCAAATCCATGCGAGGCTGCTTTGCTAGCTGTGGCTGTGATAATGACCCTGCCTATTGTGTGGTTTGTTCCACCCAAATTGTGATGATGTGGGATTCTATTGTACTCTTGATACTAGATGCGGCTGGAAACATGTCATCAAATTTAGTTTTGTGTAATGCAATGACATATTGTTGCTCCAATACAGTCGTTTCCTCTAATGATGGATTTTCTGTCCTGAAAAATTGCAAACATCTTAGAACTACAACTGATAAAATTTGGTTTAGGGTAATAAGATCCGCTACCTTATCGTACGACTGTTTTACATTTGCTAGTGTGACCCATTGTGTGAATAGTGTCTTAACATTAACACGGGCTACCAAGTCAGTGAAGCTGCCATCAACTGATAGACCAACTGACTTAAATTAAATAAGTAAGATTCTTCTATCATACATTTTGAAGCTAATAACTTTTGCTTTATAAACCCTGCACCCTGTTCAGAACTGGATTGACTGTTGCTTGTTACATGACATCAGCTCTCTGATTCCGACACTGCAGTTGCTTTTATTTCTATCGATAGGGGCTAATTCTAACTCATTCTTTAAACGCAGTCTTACTGGATTACTCTCAGTCTCTAAACATAGTCTCTCATACTCAGCATCTTTCTCCTAGCTTAATTTCTCAAATTCCTTTTCTTTTTTCATTGCACGCTCAGCAGCTCTTTCCTCATGCAATGCCTTCTGCTTTGTAGATGTGACAAGACTCCAGTGGTGCATGAGTAAAATGAATGATAAAAGCTCATTGAGAGCCATTGGGTGCAATAAACAATGAAACTCCAATAATTTGTAGAAAAGATGAGCGATACAAATTTTTTTTTTTTTAGACAATGATCTAGAAGTGAAAAGTGAGAGTAATGCATCGATAAGGCCAGTGACAGTACAACTTGATTACAGTCTGATGATAGTCAAGTGTTGTTGAGAAAATCTTAGGTAACTGACAGTTCAATAAATGCTCAATACAGTACATGAACTTCAGCCAATGATGAACGGCAAGATCAGGTCGAGGGTGTTAAAAATGTATGATTGTTCAACAGTAAACATTGAAAGAGGTTCAACAAGAACAATCTGAAACACTCCATTGCTTCTAGAATCAATTAATATAACCTGAACAGTAATGGAAAACAAACCTTACAAAAGGCATCATATTGAATGTACCATCTTGGTGTATTCTGATAACATCAGTGGTTAATCATAAAAAGTACATGAGTACTTGATTCCAATCCAAACATTCAAATCAGCTCTCTCTTTGAACAGGTGTCATCAATTGTTGTACACTTATGGAGCTTTTGAGGAGGAGATCAGAGCGCCTATGGATCTGTCTAGAGTGCTGTGATGGTAATCATTAGTAATCACTAAATCAGGGCTGTTGTCTACTGTGAGATCTAGAGGCAGTCTTCCTTATGAGATCCACTCAGCTCGGACTGACACGATTGCTTCTCTAACTACTTTATTGCCAATCCTTGGAGCTAATCTCCCTACATTATGTTTTTATTTTTTTTATTTGTCAACACACAACAACAAATTACAAAGTACTTGAGTCATTTAGTATTAGTTTAGTTCATGCATAATTTACATGCAACAACACTAAACGCAAATGATGACAACAATGGTCCTGAAATATCATGCTAAAACTGTGGAAGACTTTTCTTAATGCAGGCGTGTCTTGCTAGTCACCCTTGCTGTCACCATTGTCTCTGGATCCCATGCCTCCTCAAAGCCCAGTATAACACTATTGGCTGGAAAGGCAGAAAGGTTAAACAAACTGTGTAGTAAAGCCAGCCTGAAATACCTAATCATCAGTCACATGTGTTTATTCATTTCTCAGAAATATATGTTTTCCTCCATCAATAGTTTGGTTCTTTTGTAAACCAATCAGTTTTATTCATCTGCTGATATGTTATGCTATTTGAACAGCAAAAGATGAGCTTGGTGTACACTGTTTGTTTGTGTAAATCAATATGGAACTTTAAATGTGACATTAACTTTTTTAAATGCTATACAGTCTCAACGTCTCACTGAAGTGAAAAGGGAAGAGTTTGAACTCCTGGAGGCCCAGTCAATTCCTTTGAGAAACTATTTGATGAAACATGTGATGCCAACCTTAACCCAGGCCCTAATTGACTGTTGTAAGACAAGACCAGAAGACCCCATCGATTATTTGGTAAGTTCATTTTGTTCAATGTTTGGTATCACTTTATGATTTTGTAAGATGTAATCATTTCTAAATGATTTATAATAAAAGCTATCTTTTGCTTAATAGTGCACACATTGCTGTCTAATATTTTAAATTTCATTTTTAAATTTCATACATCAATGAATGCCTAACATTTCCCTGTTTCATTATATATATATATATGTGTGTGTATAATATCTCTGTTTTGCAATAAAAATTACCACTTTTGAAAAACTTATATACTGAAAACAACGCATGCAAATTCAATGTTATTTTCTCGTTACTTCCTGAAAGTTGGTAAAGCTGTGGACAGTACTCAGATGAGTTGATTTATGACAGAAAGATATGGTTTCTTTGAACACTGTTTTATGCCATCTGAGGGAAGCAAACATACTACATCTAGTCCGTTTGATGCCCTTGACTTTTACCACACCACATCCAGAATGGACTACACTGGGCAAATGTGCATGTCATTTGCTTTAAAGGCAATTGCAAACTCTTATGTTCTCAGATGAGTGGAGATTTATGATGGAAAGATATGGTGGCAGAACCAGGGTGTACAGATGTCTACATGAATAAAATGCTCATAAAAGTATGGCGTTGAACTTTGATAGAAGCAGCTCTATCATATGGGTAGGAATAAAAGAGAATTTTAGAAAAACAGCTGGTAATCACTTTAGCTTCAAGGGAGCATCATTGCGCAGCGGTTCATACATGTTTAGATAACACAATTCTTTAAAACTCATTCTATACTAAAACAACAATAAATGCAGTTTAAAAAAAACAGATTTGCAATTGGATATAAACTGCGCGAGTTGTTGAAGAAAATGTTAGCTTTCTTTTGAAAGAAAATAAATTATTCATTATGACCTTTATTATGTTCTCTACTTCTCTCACTGTCTGTTTCATTCGTGTGTGCACACGCACATATAAGTGCGTACACATGCTTACACACTTTATTTGTATGTTAATTGGTATTTTACAGACGATCACAAAGCTTGAATATTATAGTTATAATTTGATGAATTTCTACAGAATATATTTTAATTAAACCTCAGATTTTATTAGTTAATTATACAAATAATAATGTAAAACATTCCTTTGCAGAGCTATAGGTAGTGAAAACACGGAAAGCTTATAGTTACAAGCATAACTAAATCATTTCTGCCCCACAGAATTGTTAAGTACAATTAAAAAATGTTTAGACTAAGATGAGTTAGCATAATAACTGTCTGAGGCAGGATAAGGGCCAGTAATAATGGATTAAATAAAGTGAAAAATAACCCAAAAAGTCTGGGTTTTTTTATTTTTAGTACTTATTATGAATGGGAGCCAACAGGAAATCTTGAGACACAGGCATTATGTGGGCAGGCTCGTGAGAAGTACAAAAATGCATTATAATCAGTTTTTTTTTCTCCAAATTTTACAAATGCTTTTCTAAAAACACATAATTACTGCCATAAAAATAGACAAATAGTTTTTTATCTAGTTTATTGGATACTGAAAACAGAATTAATCTAGAATTTTATATAATCAATGATAGAAGAATCAGGATATATATATATATATATATATATATATATATATATATATATATATATATATATATATATATATATATATATATATATATATATATATATATATATATATATTATATATATATATATAATTACTTAGCATATTTATTTGTAACAATCAAACTACATTAAAAGGCTGGTTATACTTGTGAAAATAAAAGTCGGTTTTAGATTTTATTATTTGGATACCTACACTTATATTATTAATGATATTGAATTGTAGATGAATTGTTTAAAGAAATTATTTATAGTATCCAATAAATAATATGAGAAATAATTTTTTTCTTGTTTTGTTGTATTACTTAAAAATAAAAGCCTTTTTATTAAAGTATTGAAAATTAAAAAAAAAAAAAATGTCATTTACTATACACAAATTTTGTCAGTCAAATTGATAAATTGTAAAATATTTCTTGTCTCCATGTAAACAGAACGTTGATTATAGTGTGGTGATTTGCCATTTTTATATCCTGTGATATTGTGGATTCCATCCCTTTAAAATATATTTTACTATTGAAACCTCATATATTGCTAACCACAGGTTACCTATTTTTAAAAATGCTTTACAAAATAAAATTGCACCAGATGGTCATCCACAAGGAGCGTGCATGCAAATTTTGAGCTTAAAAGTTTCTCAGGAAATAGTTTACAAACGAGGACAAAATTATCACCAATTAAATTATAAGTTTTACGTTTTTAAATGTGGATGAGCAACAAGAGTAACAACAAAAAACAAAAACAAAAACAAAAGAAAATATGATTATGAATGATGGAACAGTTTTACAAATATATATTCTTCTTACTTTTTTTTTTTCAGGCAGAGTATCTGTTTCAACACAACCCTCAAGTTGACTGAAATTACCAGATTTGATTTAGTGTCCTCACAAACTGTCAATATATTTCAGCAAAACAGAATGTCCTGTTTTTACAAATACACTAATTGTACAAATTATCATTTAAGAATACTTGTACTTTTTAAATTTCTAAAGTGGATTGCAAAATCTGATAAAATATGATAATCTGCAACATATTTCAATTATTTACTTGCTGCCAGAAGTTTTCTTGATAAGTCTTAGAGAAGAAATTGCTTTTATGTTTTATCAGAATGCTGCTAGCGGTGATGTCTTGTAGTCACATACTTATAAATGAATGAGAGAATTTTCTTGATAAGTCTTAGAGAAGAAATTGCTTTTATGTTTTATCAGAATGCTGCTAGCGGTGATGTCTTGTAGTCACATACTTATAAATGAATGAGAGAATTTTCTTGATAAGTCTTAGAGAAGAAATTGCTTTTATGTTTTATCAGAATGCTGCTAGCGGTGATGTCTTGTAGTCACATACTTATAAATGAATGAGAGAATCAAGAATTAAAATCACTGCACTTGGGATGTTCCTACACGTGCTCCAACCCCTTTTTCAGTAACCAACAGAAGTTTAAATGCTAATAGTAGCAGTTGTAACCTGATTAAAATTTGGCCTCCATTTCACCTTGTCTTTCTTTCAGCTTCTACCATGTATTCTCATAATGACAGCAAAAAAATACTATACTACTACACAAATATGTCTCAGTATTTCAACATTTTGCTTTTTTTTTTTTTAATAATATTTTTTTTAACCAAAATAATTCACCTTTAAAATGACACTTTGTTGTTGTTGTCATTATTGTCCACTTTGAACATCTTGAAAAAGAATGTCTAGATCAGTGTATGAAATACGCTCCTTACTTCTGTGTTGAACTGGTCTTTTATTCTTCAGATTCAGATACAGCTAGCTTTGTTTCTTGGTATGTGTTGGACTTTATTTAACTTTATGCAAATTGGGCCTTTAAATGTATAATGATCACTGTAGTAGTCTACATAATGCACAGTTTTGTGATTTATTAAGTGTTTACAAATCTTCTGTCAGTTAGGTTACTAATCGTATTACCAGAACACTTCCATGTCAATAAATTTCTTGGTTGTTGTTTATTTTAAATGTTTCTAACAATAATTTTATGCTCTTTTACTTGTATACACTCTCCAAAGTCTGTATCCTCTTACATTCTGCTTCCCTACTCAGTAATTACCTAGCCACTCCCTTACTCTCCTTAGCAGCATGATAGTCTTCCAGAACAATGTTTTAATATTTCTTGAGTTTAGAACATTCTTAATAATTCTTTAATGTGTTACATAGAACACTGTAAAATGCATGTATGCTTTCTTCACTGCTTTCTGCAGAGGTGGATGTCTAAATAAGCCTAGCATCAAAAGGCCTTCCAATTAACTTTACCAGTAATAAAATTCTGTCTGACACTGCAAAGTATTCTTTAAAAGATATTGCTATTTAAAAGCTAAAATAATGATTACACTTTTGCCTGGATTCTCTCCCTAAAATTGATACTTTTATAGCTGTCAGATGTCAGCATTCTTCTCCCTTTTTCCACATGGTCTCACTCTTTTAATGCCTATTATCAGCATGAAAATATAATAATTGTTTCCTGTATTTGTCCAGAAAACATTACTGTTTTGCTTAATTAAGCCTTTTGTCTTTTCATAATTTATCTTGTGCTGTGAAATCCCAGAATACTAATCCTATCAGATTTAATTTCATCATTAACTTAAGCCATTTTGTGCAGGGTTATGACCTTTCAAGTTTTCTGATGAGTTTTCTATGATGCAAGTAGATGAGATTGTGATCCAAACTTCTTTTGATAAACTTCACATCTCATCATTGTTGTACAAGTAAAAGAGTCTATTTTCTCGTGACTGGCTAATCTGTAGAAGTAGACCCCAAAAAATTCTGTTCAACCCTTAGGGTTATAATTGGGATATATAGTGCTCATCTTTTTCTTTTATGAGGATCTGTCCACAGTTTGCTAGGTTTTGTAGCTAGGGTTTATACCAGACAGAATTACCAGCTCTGTTCAGCTGTCATTGGTTACGTTTCCCTTGCATACAATACTATTTTAACACTGTTATCTCACTAAACATACTTTTTTTATTGGTGAGTGTGCTTGCTGTACAGCTTTTAAGATAGTCAAAACAATTTACTTGTCAATGTAGTAAGCATTGTGTATTATGGTATAAAATCAAATACATTCCAACTTTGTTGACTATCATACAGATATGATGAAGTTTTAAAAAAAAAATACACAGACATGTTATCATCATTATAAGGTTTATTAAAAAACATCTAAGAAAAGAATTTAATTGAAATATTATTATTATCTCTCAGCTTGTTGTAATGAAACATAACAAAATAATATGAACATGCATCTTGATAAAATAAAATATAACATTCAGTATAATGCTATTGTTGTTCAGTGCTTTCAAATCTGATATTACTTATGTGGAATGAGAGTTTTAGGGTTACAAATGCAAATGAGAGCTTTGTTAATTTATTGGCATAATTATGTTTATGATATGGAAATGTTTTTCCGGTTTAGTACTGATATTGTTTCCTCCTACAATAATGTTTAAAGAAAAAAATGTCTGCAGCTTACAAACTCAGTCATAAAATTAAGAAATTTTACCAACTGTTTACCTCTCACCTCCATAATCAGCAACACAAACTGCCCCTCCTTAACTGCTGTTTATGTCAGTGGTACACTAAATAAATCCAAACCCGGGTGAAGATATTCACATGAACTAAGATGAAAAAGAAACATCAAAGATATCTGAGTATTTCTTCTTCTGAGATGACTGGCATCTGTGAGAAGAACAAGGTCGGGGCGCTGCTTTAAATCTTTTGCGCAGAGGTTTGCGAGGAGCGCTGCTCATCGTCGTTGAAACTCGCTTCCTGATTGGTTGCAGACTATTGTGATCAACAGCTCCTTATAGTAACCACTTGCGTAGTCTGAGCTGGTCCAGTGTTTCCTGTCGGAGGTCAAAGCAAATAACCATTGGGTTTAGCCGTCACATCTTTAAAGCTTTCTGGGACATAGGAAACATGACCTGGATACATCTGTTTGGCCAGACTGGTAATCTATGAGCCATCATGAGGGTTTTTTTTTAAATTATGATATAATGTGAGTTGAGACTGATGGTTTTGTGTTCTTTATTATTCCCCAAAAAGTCTTGAACAATATAAATAATGCCTAATGTTGCGATGGTAACTGCTATTAGTAAACCGTTTAGTGACTCTGTTGTCTTTCTTGGACATTGATCCACATTGGTCAGCCCTTCATTAAAGATGACACCCTCTTTGTTGTGATACAGGGGTTTCCATTCCCCTAGCACCAAATAATCATCTCCAGAACCAGGTCGACCATATCGCCCAGATGTTTGCACCACTGCCTGTAGGTCCCACTTTCAGGGAGGTGAAGGGATGTCTCCAACGTGGGTCAATACCTAATAATGATACTGTCTGTCTTAAATATATAGTTTTATCATGTTAAAAGAACATAATGCTTTTTTTTTAAGTTTTAAAACTGGTACCTAATAACTAAGAAAACCACAGCTTGGTAAAGTGCTGGAGAAGATAGAGGCAAAACAAAAAAAAATTTATCTCACAAGGAGATAGACTGTTAACCAAAGCAATTCCCCTAGCTTTCTTATATACCATATAATCTGCAGGTCCTCCTCCTCGCGTACCCCTTCTCCTAAAAAGCACAGATTCTCTGCTTTGCTGGCCTGAGCCTGAACACACCCACACGCAAGAGCAACGACCGACCTGGCTTTGACCTCAAGTCACTCTTGATCTCATAATAGCATCTTGATCTAAGTCTTTTGACCTCAAACCACTTCTGACCCAAAAAACGGCCAAATCAGGCTGTTGCACCGCGCAAAAAAAGCAAAATCGAGCGGCGTAAATAATTTTTCTTTAATAAAGTCATAGATAAGTCAGAGTTTTCCTCTATTTCTTTGGTAACGCCATATTAATATAGGTTATCTAAGGAAAAAGCCAAACAAATAATACGGATTATTGACGTGCCTTCTACATGCGTTCAAGTTTTATCAGCTGAATCTTAGTAAGCATTCCAAGACTATAATCTATCAACGACAGGGTAATATTGGTTTCAGATGTCACTATGCGAATAATTTTCTCAGTGAACTTTCGTTTTTCATTACTTTTGTAAGCCTAGCTTGCTAGACAATTCTTTTTCTTTTACTTTTCTCCCCCCCCCCCCCTTTTTTTTTTTCACACACACACACACACACACACACACACACACACACACACACACACACACACACTATTAGCGGTTATTATTTGGATTTGAATAAAATACTACACACACACAAAATGTCTCCAACACGTAGCGCCACCAAGCGGTTATCCATCTACATACTAAACACTCCCGACGTTCCTTGACTTCAATGATGAGACAAGAACCAGTATTTTTTTCACGACCCCATTTAACTTTCCACGTCAGGCAGAACAGTTCAGGAAGCCAGAGGTGGCTTTTCCATGACCACCAGCAGCATGACGATGGAGGTGATGGCGGTGATGCAGGCTTTTATGTGGCTGGGATCACAGGACTATTCCCGCAAATGTGTGCTGAGTGATTCTTTGCGCATGATCCGGCGGGTCGGGGCAGGCTGTTTACTCAGACAGTGGCTTGAGAAGTTGCAAAATTCTCCTGTGTGTACAGTTACTTTCATATTCGTACCAAATATGCAGGCGTTGTTGGTAATGAGAGAGCTGATAGACTGGCCGGCCCATGGATCACGCAGACATTGTTATTGCCCTTAAAGAGATTAGACGTTGTGAGGATTTTTGAAGCAACGCTAAGAATACGCGAATTGGGAGTAAAGATCGGCACAGCCAAGCATGGGAAGCACACCGGACGAAGTCGTGTTAACCAACAGAGGATTAGTACTAATAACCGCACGATGCTGATGAAAATGTTTAGAGGGAATCTGAGCGCCTATGGGT